CATGGGGTATTCTGGTCCTCGCGGGGTTGCAATTTACCCTGACAAAGTGGCACTGGATCATGACATCTGGAAAGCGGAAAAGGGCACCTGCTTTGGAGTGCTGGTCGCGTCCTTGACTTGAAGACAAATCCCCAGCTTGCGAGGCACGAGTCCCGTGCTCAGCGGACAACGACTGCCACTGAATGCAATAACGTGTGGCTACCGAGCCGAGCAATGAACAATGGGATCTAAACGTTTGCTGTGTACAAAGTTGAGTGCATGATGCCAATCCTTACGTGATTGCCCTCAATGGTAACCCAAGGAATGGAAGCCTACAAAGTCAAATGTTGCACCCAACCAATAGGGTACATGAGACATCCCACCTGTGCCACTACCAACGTGCGAAACTTTTCCACTCACTGCCTTTTTCAACAACATGTGTTGATTGAACATGTCACGAGCTCACGCTGACATGACATGTGCCTTGCGAAAAGCGCAGGAACCAGGACCGGGAAACCTGCGCAGTGGCACCTGCGCTTATGAGAGCACCGGATCCAGGCGCCAGACTGTGTAAGCTCTTGCACTTACAGGATGACCGAGGATCATAGGCCCCACGCTCATTGTAAAGGAAGCACTGCGTTCAAGGTCCGGATGCAGTGGCATGAGAAGCATGCCAAAACATCGATTAGCTTGAATGCATCGCTGACTGGAAGGTTGGGCACGGCGGTAAGGAGTCAGCGAAGTCGTGAGAAGTACATACAAGGCTTGCGGTAGATTGTCTCTAAAAATATGATCAGATGATGAATCAAGTTTCAGAGTCTAGCGACCGTAGACTTAGTAAGAGTATGTTTTTCTTCCAATGAGAAGAGGGGAAGTGCGGATCATCAGGAATCAAAAAAGGAAGTGTTTTGCAGAAGTGGCGGGACATTGGAAATCAAAGACTCGGCGCATTATGGCATTGTGGGAAGTACGCCCTACAATGTGGAACACAGAAAGGGCTGGAGTCGGAAGTACTCCAAGTAATTAGGTGATGCGCAAGTGTGGAAAAGGAGTCCAGGGCATCAATGGGTTTCCCTTGGGTTTCCCCACTGCTTTCCCCGCCAAATGCCGCACAAAAATACGAAATAGAAGCACATGATTAGAACTCGTGTGCACATGTATATTACATTATGAGGCAAACAGGGTCGTTCAACGTTCGAGACTCACAGTTTCGACGCAGGGCTGAGTTACTGACTTCGTAAAGCTACACACTCTTCACAAAATGACAGAACCCGGAGAAGGCATGCTCGGACGAGCAGCAATCTAGGCAATCTCAACACGCGAGACCATGAACAAGATGAATGTGATAATTTAAAAGCGTACGAGAGAAGCCGTTGGCAGAGAACGACATTCACCACATCTTTCCTCCATCAAAGCCACCGTCTGCGCCAATATTAGTCGCAGAAGTCTTCGCATCTAAGAACAGCTCATTCATCTCCCCAATATCCTCTACTTCTATCTGGCTTCTTCCGGAAAGACCAGCGAGTATTGAAGCTGGCGTAAGAAGTTGGAGAGCATATCTGTCAAGGCAATCATGAGAGGTTCACTATTAATTGAAATGTTCCATACCGCATCGATCCTCGTTCACCCTCCTCTGCTATTCGCTCCAAAACCCCAGGACCCAATTTGAGACCTTCGACGTTCGCGCGTAATTGTACTACCTTGCCGATCTGCTCAGCGATTATATCCGTCAGTCTTTACAATAAGACACCTTAACAAGGGTAAATCAGTCGAAAGTCTGTCATGAGGTTTGCGGACTAACCGATCCAATAGATCTACAGGGATACCATGAGGTGAGACGACGTCGGTCGTCCCTCGCACTAGTGCATTTCCACGATTGGTAGCAAGTATTACAGTAGGGGCCATGGGTGATTCGAGGAGGGCATTGAGATAGGTAAAACACTCGATATCCAACATATGCACCTAAGGGAAATGTTTAGCCTCGTCCCTATGGAACGTGAGAAGACAGATACCTCATCAATAAAAACTACGCCCGGAACAACCTCCGCAACGCCTTGGTCTACGTAGCCTTTCACCACCTTGTTAACTTCTCTTCGAAGTTTGTCTGTTACCTCCGTCCTTCCGCTCTTCACGAGGCTACCCATAACGCTCATGATGTCTTGACCGCCTTGCGGACGTGCATTGGCGGCATCGAGATCACCAAGAGTAACGTCTTGGACAAGCTCTTTGCGCTTATGAACATCGCCTTTTGGTAATGGCACGTATGTCTCGGATTCGAGGTCATAGGAGGAAGCATATGCATCGGATCGTCCAACTCTCTGCATGAAAGGGAATTAACTTGTGTATTCTTGATAAAACAATACTAACACACCTTGACTGCACCAGTATTGGCTTCCACATAGATAACATCACCGACCACGATTTTTTCCTTGAGGATTGCCTCATAGATGGTGGGATCCAGTCGCAACTGCTTGGTGCCTTTGACCGTTTTAAGACCGACGATAACATGCGAGACTGTCTTGCCGTATCCGCTCAATGGGTTTTCAGATTCTGCGGGCGTAAGCTCGGTGACCTCTCCTTCGTAAACCTCCTTGGTTTCTTTTATCCGCAGACCTATCGGAAAAGGACGCATTGAGTGTGAGTTCATAGATCCGAGCCAAGACATAGGCAACGCTATCTGTAACACAACATATGTGTGTATGCACGAGAACCCTGACAAAGAACTCCAAACATCCAAGATACTCACCGATTGCCCTCCTGAACGATTCTGCAAGCACCTCCGTCTTTTTCACCTCTGTGCTGTACACCTCAGAACCAACCATCGGGCAAAATGGTACCTTGGCGCCGAGTTCGTGCGATACTGCCAGGGCAAGGGCTGTTTTGCCTGTTCCCGGCGCGCCTACGAGAAGTAGCGCGCGCCCCGAAAATTTGCGAGATTTTATGAGATCCACCACCACACCGCATGCCTGCAAGCTTGGTCAATTCAGGAGAAAAAAAACGACGTTATTAAAACCTCTCGAGCATTAGTCTGGCCTATGAATCCTGCACCATCAGGTGCAGCAAGGCCGTCTGATGTGAGTCCCAATCCTTTTATGTGCGAATGAGGGGCGATTCTGGAAGAACGAGCGTTGGATGTTGCGGATGGTGGAGGTAGGGCATTGTGAGCGACGGGTGTTGATGTAGATGGTGTTGCGCTTGTTGCTTTCATGATGGCTTTTCCCTGACACGCGTTGAAACGCGACAAGTCGTGACAGTCACGATATTATGTCAGCAGAAGGTTGTTTATTTCTAAAGCCGTTGCCAAACACACTCCAATTCCATACATACGTTTCACCAGAATCGATCTGATGATTGTAACTTGTGCATTGCTATTTCATTATTTGTGAGTGTTTCACAAAGATGGTCGCCCGGTCAAAGATTAGGTTTGTAACACGGCAATACAATTCACAGTCTGGCAGATTTAGATATCCTGCAGGCCGTGCACTCGACGTCTCGACTGCTCTGTTCAAGTTGTCTGAAAGTATTTTCGAATGTCACCAGTCCGCAAATCCAACAAGCCTCCCGTCCCATGTCCACCAAATCATCTCGTCATCTTCCGGAATTTCTTCCTCCGATATTATTTCCGGATCTTCGGTGATTCTCTGTCGGCTGCGAATCCATACACCTTCCACCTTTCCGCCTTTCTTTTTCTTCTTGATATCATCTCTTGTCGGACGTTCACCAGATTCCTCAAGAAACTGGTTTAGTAGCGCGTCAAAAGCACCGCTGAGGGTTTGCCTAGGCACCCACGCCGGGTGCATAAATTTTCGAGGAGCACGCAGTACTATGTGCGTCTGAGTTGGAGCTATGCCCATTGCCCGGAACCGTGTTAGGGTATAAATGAAGTGCTAAGATGATTACTACTTACCCATTTCGCTGGCCATGCCCTGTCCATCATTTTCACCGCACGCGCTTGCAAGGGTGCGAGAGAGCAGGCGTTCGGCGGTGCGGAGGGCTTCGAGTTCTTGGGCATAAGTTGGAGGCGGTGGTTGTGGTAGAGGAGGCGGAGAAGAGGAGGGAGATGGCGTCCTAGACGGTGGTGGGCAGGGTGCTCGAGAAGATTCATTGGACTCCGTTTCCGAAGCTGCTTCTTCGTCGCCTGAATCATCACTGCTATCACTGTTACCGCTTGCGTTTGAGTCGGTTTCGCCATCACTGTCACTGTCATTGTCCGAGTCAGACTCGTCTTCACTGTCACTTTTCTCTTCGTCATCCTCCTCTCCCTCTCGCTCACGTTCAGACGGGACGCCCAAGCAATCGTCTCGTTCTCCCCAGGCCTTTGCTTCCAAAGCATCTACACCCACCATTACCCTGCATTTGGCAGACCCAGGTGTGGGACCAAGAACAACTGCAAGGTAGGCACGACCATAGCTTCGAGAATCTTTTGTCCCGCTGTGGTGGGCAAACGCCGTAGAGAGTGCTGTAAATGTCGTATTGAGGTGTGACGCGAGGGTATCGAATGAATTGAGGAGCTCCTGGCGTTTCTTCGCGGCTCGAGACGTAGTCTTTGTGGCGTCAGCTGCCAAAATCAGATAAATCAGCAGGGCACCTACATCACCACCGGTCATCCGTGCCATCTGCATGACAGGGCTATACAAATATCAGCAGACAATTTGATTGCAAACGCTTGAACTTACAAAGGAACCTGACTCTTCAAAAACAGAACGTGGCCGACCAAGCTAATACACAATCTGGCGGCCATAGAATCCGTCACAAGGTCGGCGTCCAGTGTGATGGATGGAATCTTCATAGGAGGGGCAGGCATTTGGGCAGGCTGTCTATTCGTATAGGTATCTTCTATTTCTTTAGGAGGCACGTGCCTTTCTAGCTTGCAGTCAGAGAGTGCGAGGACACGCATGATTGGAGGACTGGAGGAGGTGACACTGCACATGTGACGTCACGCGCTCAACGCGTTTTCGTCACGTGCTAGAGAATATTTTCGCTCCCAATGTCAGTTGTGTTACAACCTCCATCACATGGAAGCCCTGATGGCTCAGTTGGTTAGAGCGCAGGTCTCATACTTCTGTATGACCGGTGTTGATACCGGGCAATCCTGAGGTCGCAAGTTCGAACCTTGCTCAGGGCATCAAGTTTTCCGTCGGTTCTCATCTGGCATTTTTTGATTCTTTCGCAGTGATCATGAGGTGAGACACGGCCGCGGCAACCATGTGGGACAAAAGAAGGGTAACACCTTTCTAGGTTTGCAGCCGCTCCGGAGCCAAATGCCGGGTTGGAGTGAGATCGGTTTCTGCTAAAGTAGGTTTTTGTGATGCATCCTCGATCGTCTGTCATGATACTACTAGTATTTCCGCGTGTTTCTCTCTAGTGTGGTTTGCATTTTGATATATTGTGCACACTTAACAATGACCGGTATCGTTATAACATTTTTTTAGAATGCAGCTTGATGAACGGCCTCGGGGCCTCTCAGGCCGACGAACGATCACAAAATGGATACACCAGGTTCGTCTCATATTACAAGTTTAGCTCAGCGGAGAATTATCGATGTCATCCTAAGGCGCCGGCTCAAGCTGAAACTCGATTTTTCCCTAAATCTTGCTGGCTAATATAAGTAATACACATGGTATGATATGTCATTCATATAGTCAGATGCAAGTATAGATTGATGCCAGGTTATTCTTGTCAAATCAGACTGTCTGGAAGGCTACCAGAAGTAGCAACACTCGGACGAAGGTAACGAGTAGAAGCGTATGGGATTGGTTCGGGATAAGAGACGATACCGCATACATACGATACAAGTTCAGTATATATAGGAGTTGTCAGAGCGGAAAACAGAGGCAAATAAGTAAGGGTGTCCAATCAGAGAGGAAGGTGCATAAGCAGTGCGTCATAGTGCGTAATGCGTAAGCTCGGCTTACACTGTCACTTTGCAGGGATACTCTGTTTTGCGTTTCAATTGCGCCGTCGTCGTCTTGTCGTCCCCTACTATTTGGATCGACGTTCGTTGTGTAAGTACTAGTCGATGGGATCTAACGAGAGTCTACTTTCGCTTTTTTTTTTCAGGCTCCCATTAGAATCTAAACAGGCCGCACAAAACACAGTTTTATTTCATAGTACTTTGCAGGTAGTTCCCGTGACACATGCGTTGAGGCTTCATGTGAGTTGTACTTGGTACTGTTTGAGCGTTCTAATGTACACTTCGCACTGGATGAAGGTGAGGGGGTCAAAATTTGCACTAGTGTGTAATTAAAATCTATCTAAAACTTAGGGCAACGGATGTCTTTCAACTTCAAAGATAACCGGCTTTACAAAAACCCAACAGCCCTGCCGTCAACCTCACCCGGTCTCGTTGCAGTAGTAATAGTCCTGTTGCCAACTCAGATCGACTGCGCTGTTGAATTGAATTGTGGCACTTACCACGGAGGAGATGGTATAGCAGCAAGCTGCTATGTAGCCACTTGCACAAGGGTTTGAATAGCTTTGGCACTGCTCATCGTTAACTTCCCCTAGATCAGATGAATCCTTGCCAACACATGTAAGCACCAATGTGTTTCGCCATTCATTGATCCCTCTCACCTCCTCGCAGCAGCGAGCTGTGCCTTGACCACAATCAGTCGAATTGGTTGATGCCTTAACACTCGCTTGTGAAACGAGAAGCAAGATGACGGAAACCGTGAAAGCACGAACGAACATGTCGTTTAGCCCATTGAAGGTTCAAATGAGTGCCATTTAAACAAACGCGGCCAGGGGCTTATCGCTCGAACGCGTCCATTTTACTGCGGAACTAAAATCATGAGTTATCCGGGTGAGTTTAAAGTAATAACCCATACTTGATGTCCCGAGGCGCTTGCCCATAGGCTTCCATGTGGGAAAAATTGCCACTGCAGCCCAGTCACTGGGCTGTCCGATTGGTGCTCAGAGGAGGAGACGGACAGGGGAAATTAGGGTTCCGACTTACGCGATAGAGCCTCATCGGGGACCTTCACGTCTGGGTCTGCACGTACCTTACAGCTGTTTGCCCTGGGGCTTCGTCGTCCACCTTCCATGATCGTCCACAGATCAGGCCACCAATTCAAAGGCGGGATCTGACTCTACGTGGACTGCCAAAAGCAATGATTTGTTTGTGGTTAAAGATGCAACGAGGCGATAACGCTATCCCTTCGCAGCTCTACCTGGAACGCCCGATAGCCGTATTGAGGCATGATGTAATTTATACTTCGAACACGTCGTACTAGCGAGTGGAACGTTTTATCATCGTTGATGAACGCAGTCTATGCTAAATTCGACGTTGACTTTCGTCCCGACCCGGTAATTAGCCGTCTATCAACCTCCGGTTTCATACTTTGCGCAACAACTATAATTCATATCTGTCGTACTATCCTAAATTATCTTGCCACACCATTCACCCTGAGCCGTGATCATGAGCGTGAACCCAAAATCCACAAAGACAAGGCAGGTATTATAATAGAATGATAACCTCACTATGAAGTCTCTATTCAAATCTTGTCTTTTAGGTAACAAGCCAAAAAGGTGATGATGGCGACGGGGGCGGAGGCCGGTAGAGGTAGATAATTGGGTCACTCAGGCAACGGGGATACGTTCGGCTCAGAACAATGATGAGGAGGGTGAAGTGTACCGCTGAGCAGAAGATAAATTCAAAGATTGAAATACCGATGGGCCTGTGAGAGGTGTACAAGTATCCGGATGTGGTGTTGATTGGTTGCATGGCTATCGAAGTACCGTGGAGATTTGATATTGAATTAGTCATTGCGTACTATACAAGCTGTGGGAGGGAAATGCCTTGTTTCCGGATAATATTATGGAATATAAGAATGGCTATGGGGGACAAGGGCAGCTCGAGCGAGCTCAGTGGCTTCATCTAGGTCAGTGGGATGCCCAGCTACACGAATCTCTGTTGTGAAGGTTATTGGAGAGATTGGTGAGAGATGATAAATGGCCGGGAAGAAGTGCAGCTCGGTGGAGTTAAATGATCTACTAGTATCCAAGTCAGACAGGATGTCCCACTAGAAGCCAAGGGCAGCAAGATAGAGCCCGATGGCCTCATCCAGGCAGGCAGGATGCCACGCTGCTCTAATTTGTTGAATAATGCGCGGATGAGACGCCAAAACTAAACGGGGCAAGGAACTTGAGTATGGCTGTGCCGTGAAGTACTACTTTGGTACGCGTGACCTGCAGGAGTGACTATTGACAAGCTTGACAACGTGAAGTTTCTCTCCTATGTAGACTCTTGCTGGCAATTTCTTTCTTCATCCCGGAGATGTCATGATCTCTTAGTAAGATGAGTTGTCGTGTCATCGGGAAAATTGGGGTCGGCGAGGTGCGTACCTGGCGCGTGTCAGAATTTTGAAAACCTTCCTGGGTTCAAGTTGCTAGCGCTTGCCCATAGCAGTGATTTCACCCATTCCACAGCGGTAGTAATATTGACTTCTAGCCACCTTTTCAATAAGAGATCCAAATTTTCCTCAGTCAGCGGCGATTGCATATTTTCATGCGAATAGTAGGATTGGGTGAACAAAAAGAAACACAGACCGCTACCAGCGGGGACGTCCAACAAGATTTTCGGGTTTGCCGGGATTGACTCGGACAACCCCGTCGTTCATCGGCATATATATACGATGGTCTTTGAACTGGCTGTCCTTGATGCTGAGGAATTTGTTGGGCGCACGAGAACTCCGCAGAGCACCCAGGATCTATCACGATGATTTTTCACGTCGTTGTACTCCAGCATATATGCGTATGAATTATCTGTGTTACTTAAGTCGATTAATTACGACAGATACAAAAATGTAGCGAGGCGTTTCAAACTAGACACCTTCGTGAATAAATACGATCTGTTGTTCCAGTGGAATCGTCTTGCGTAATGTCTTCACAGCCTTGTGCAATGCAGCAGCAGCGCGTGTGCAATCCAATCTCCCTAGACCATCAGTCATGTTGTCGTAAAAAGTAGAGACAATCTGGCGGGCAACATCGTCGTCAACAGATCACATAAAAGCACACAGCGAAATCCGGAGAATGGCCGCTGCATCGCTGCTGCGGGATGGATGAGCCTCATCGGGCACATCGTCCACAGTCACGGTAGTGTGGCACGCCGATAAGAATGAAAACTGTAAGCGAGACTGGATCCCTAATCGTGAATCGTTGAACGTTAAAGGCCCTTCGCGCATTGCGAGGGAAGAATGCCAGGTGAAACCACGACGCGTACTACGTATAGTACGCACACTTCCGATTAGGATTCGTGGGTAAAATACATAATTGCGTTATCAGGAATATAACCTTTCCTCAATAGTGTCATCATTTTGATGTCTGCGTGCACATTTTGCCCGCGATGGTCAGTGTCGTTGTCCAGCTGCGCGGCGCGATAAAAAGGCACCGAGTCAGAGAAGCGGATATGTGAGGTAAGTCTCGTACTGCAATTTGGTATCAATCAAGCTCTTGACCTTGCAGGCCTTAGGCTCAAACCAAAACCGAGTAACCCTTCTAGTTCATGGTGGGATATCGTCAGATCCGACCCGAAAATTTGATTCTGAACGTTGCCTTCATCGATTTGCCTCCGGTCTTACCAACTCCAGTCTTTGGCGGCGCAGGCTAACCTGATAAACATGACAGAACGTTGATTATTGTGCTATATAGTTAAAGTGATAGGGTCACGCAACGCCGCAGGTTATCTTTGCCGGACGATGAGCCACACAATGTTCAGCTGTTGATTTCAGTGATCTTGCACTTGCAGGGTGAGTATACATAGCATCCTCGGGCTTTCCATTGGATTTCCAGTACATTGTATTTGATATTGACAGGTTTGACACTCGTGGACACTGGTCAATGAAACATAACGAGATTCCACGTATTCGAGGTCGCACAAGGCAAAGCTTCATCCATATCGTGAGTCCTCATCTCGCTACGCGTTGGTGCTTACTGGTGAAGCGTTTGGGACTTCAAAACTGAATGATGTCATAGAGGTCTGAGACATTTTTGCACCAGTGAGATATTTGATATTATGCAGTCATAATGATACTATGGTATAATCCGTTCGAAAGTCCAACCCAGCAAATGTCCTTCAGGTACCGTACTTCAAAACGCCTGACAACCCTACTGTTAACTTGATGTAGT